TATCTCTAGAACAGTTCGGACTGTTGGCAGGAAGAAATTTAATCTATTGTACGACAATGATTCAATCTGCGAGAACTCCATAAGTTTATACCATAGAACGAATGCATTGTCTACGAAAGAATATCAAAAGAAAAAATTGTCCCCTTGAAATTATTTAGCGTTCCCAACAACACAGTTTTCGGCAAGAAAATTGTAGTTGCCTCTGAAATGATCATTTGTTCCATCGAAATTATATTAGTAATCCGAAAATTATCATGTTATGTTAAATTATCACAAGCAAATTGATTCAACACGACAAAAGATTTCTTCATGGGAACATGATTTTTCGAAATCAGCATTTTCTAAAAATCAACAAGATAAATTGACTAAACTCTAAAACGTCCCCGCAAAAAATTAAACTATTACCTAATACACTCACCGCCGCAATTTCTCCGAGATAACGACAATGCTCCACTTGAGATTTCCCTGCAGTATCACAGAATCCCACATCAACCCCCAGTGTACAATGTATACAACTGCATGGGCCATGAAATTTCAGGGTAACATTTGCCCCCGTTCAGTGGAGTGTAATCGAGCTTTTCCGGCTCTCTCTCTCGCGAATGAGAATTCGCGTTAAAAGGCTTTAAGTAAGCCAAGTGTGTCCATCCACGGGACAGAAGGCGTGTCTTATCATAGACACACGCTACTGATCCTCGAACCCACCGTGGTGTAGCATAATAATTACCTGATTATTTTACACCGGGATATCTCATATCCGGTGAAAGCCTACATTCGCATTTTCGTGATATACCTCGGAAAGAAAAAATTAAAAACATTTTTATCATTTGTACACATCAGAGTGGCCGCTGAGTGCACCTCCGGAATTAACCTCGTTTGATGTTTGCAGAGAAGTTTAATTCCACGGTATATCTACTAGGTGAGGAGAGGGGACATTCGCGAGAAATACTCAAGTCTTAAAATTCCACACGATGATGTTATTGAAAAAAAAGGCTGCAAGAATGACGTGCGATGGAAACAGCTGAAGTGAGACATGGAAGTTTTGATAAAGTCTTAACGTCATATCGAGAAATAACGACAGCTCCAACTTGAAAAGATCCAGTGTATGTTCGCAGTACCAATCTCACGTGGTAACACCACAGAAACATTTTGTAGAACGGGAAAAGTTTGGGAAAATGAAAAGATTCGATCGTTAAAAGACAATTTGATTTCTGAACCGATAGTAGTCATGAAAGTTTCAGCTTACGTAGGGGGTTAATCTGATATCGCTGGGGAGGAGAGGAGAGGAAAAGCGGAGACGAAGGCTGACTATCGCCAGAGAGGAGCCCACGAATAAGCTTCGGACAATGGAAAATTAATTACAATTAGCTCGCCATTCAAGAAGTTCTATTAGTCCGACAGAATTGCGAACTGCGATACTGATGTTTCGCTTTGGTAATTAGTGCTGGATTACTGCTTATGGTTTTAGGATAGGATGGACGCGGGAGATGGACACATTGTGGCTGGAGTAACCAATAATTCGCAAGAAAAGAAAGTCTTGATTTTCATTCGAGTCAGTGTCCAGTATGACCAATAATTCGTGATAAATTTCTATGAATCAATTATATGTCCCAGGGAGTTTTTTTTCTCCGCAGGGAGAGAAATTCCTTAGAAAAATTCTAGAGCTGATACTGGAATAAATCCCAATCCAGCGGTTATGAAAAATCCTAGTGCTGAGAAGGTAAAATTGCTAGGAATTTCTGATAAAATTTTCGGGGATTTCTGTGAAAATTTCATATAAAAACGGGAAAAATTCCCGTGCTACTCAATTAAATTTCGTGAACGTAGAAAATGTTTATTTTTTTAGGCAGAAATTTCTTAGTGAGAAATATCACTCCTTCAGTTAAAGTGACGATTCAATTCAATAAAATTTCTAGAATTAAAAGGGAATATTTGTCATTTTCCTCACAACTTTTCCCAGGATTTCCGCAAAAATTTCCGAAATAAGCATTCCGTGAGTTGTGTGATACACCGAATTGGGAAGGAATTTTAATTTTTGGCGAAGGGTTTCCTCCACCTCGTGAATATTGAATTGAGAAATGTGAACAATGAATTAACTGCAGATGGCAGTAAACGGCAACACGCTAAGGGACGTTGGAATCTGTGGGTCGCGAGTTATGCCGCACTCGGTGGAATGTAGTAATTAGCAACATTGTTGATCCACTCATTGCCTAATGCACAGGCTTCCTTCAAAATAATTTCATGGTTGTTATAATAATTCTTTCACGTTCCACTGATGGAAAATTTCGACGTGAAAAATTCAACCGAATATTCTTGAAATACTCAGCAACAACCAATTGAATCGGAATCAAGTGGAATGTTGTGGCGGAGTAGACTTACAATTTTTTTTCTCTAGCTTTTCGATCGGAATTTCATTTAACTGAGTAATGGCCAGAAGAACTCGGCGCTATACTAGAATTCGAATGAGTTTTCTTTCGAATTATTTCTCAATTTGTCAAAAATTCAATAAAATTTTATTCTTTTTCACGTGAAAAAAATTTAATTTATTGAATATTAATGACATAATAGCCAAATCGTGTGGAATTAAATGAAGTTTCAATCCAATTTCACGTGATAATAATTGCATTTCTCGAATATTAACGCAATTTCATGTGTCAGTCTATCATATCGCAGATTCTGCGGAATGTCACAGCAAAAATTCCGAGAAATTAGCATTTGTTTTCTCGTAAGACATTTCATTTTGTTTTGACATAAAGCACGATTTGCTGTCTTCATCCTTGCCAAGAAATCTTTTCGTTACCTTCAACAACGAATTGTAACGTTTCCGTGTTTTTTTCCATCTTTTAATAACAACAAAGTTTATCCAAGTTTCAGCCCACCTGTAATGGAATTATCACTGGAGTTAACTGCCTTCTGTTGAGTTCTTGCTCGATCACGAAGAAAATTCAGCCAGGTCAGAAGTTAACAAACTTGTCGCACTAATTGCTCCATGTCGAGGTAGTCCCGGTTGAAAAACTGAAAAATTAACAGCCACAAAACTTTTGATGTACGAGATATCTTCGGATGGTATATTGAATCTGCAAGAAATAACTTCGACTTCTCGGAGATAATAAAGATGCAAATGCATTTCTCCTACAAATTAGTTCTGTTCAGTTCGTTTTTCCAACAGTTTTTTCCATCTTCATTCTTCACAGTTATCGTCACCTGCTGCAGAATGATGTATTCTCTTACGGATAAGAAAAATATTGAAACGAGATGGACGGGCTCTAACTGGATTCTATTTGTCACAACTTATGATATTTTTTGCAATGATGCACGTGCGCTAATGAAGGGCAGGGACAAATGAGTTGCCCTACTTTTCTAATACTCTCGGACAAGTTTTATCTCAGAATTTCATCAATGTGGCAGTCCATTGGAAGAAAGAGATAAGTTTGATCATTTCAGACACTATTTCGTGAATATTCATTAGTGAAATAGATGAATGACTTCCAAGACTTCATTAGCGAATTCCATTACGATGAGATTTTCTTCAGTCTATATTAAGGATATTCAAGTCCTTCGGTGGAGTTGACAACTTTTTTTCAAGCCATATTTCAGTTTTACCCGAAATCTTGTCATCCCCGTACTTTTTCAGGAAATATCGCAACTTGAATTTTCGGTGGAACATGAATATTCAGAAACAAAATGACATGAATTTTCAATTTTTCCCTGAATTTTCCTGGTTTTTCTGAATTTTCACAGAATAATTGACCTGAAAAATGAAGTATTTTATTGATTTCCAGATCATTTCAATAGAAAATCAATGGAATATTTTATTTTTCAATGAGTCAATGAGTCAATTTATCTCATCTCGGTTTCCAGTTTGTCGCACTTTCAATATGTAGAACACCGGGACAAGACAAAAACCGAGATTTTACACTAAAAACACGAAAAACTTGAACTGAGATGAGATAAATTAACTCGAAGTCATCACGAGAACCAATTTATCTTCATTATTCATATAATTCATTGACACCGAGACCATCTGTCCAAAGTATTGTCTCGTGAAGTCTCTCGCGGCATCACTAATCAGAAGTTTTATCTCGTTATTCGTGACAGTGATAATAATATCAAATTTGAACAAGCATGTGAAAATTAAACATGCAGTCCATTACTACATGCAGTCCATTAGTCATTTGAAATGAGCGCACTCAGGTAGATGATGAATAATTTCCATATCTACAGACATTAAAAATTCAGGATTCCATCATTGGAATATTAATTGAGAGGAATCATTACGATTGAAAGCATATTATTATTATCCAATGCAATAAATCCAATCGTCATAACTTTGATCACATCCATCACGTTTTTTAATACCCTAATGACTTGATGAACAAGCCGAATTAAAAAAAATGGGAAGGATAATGTAGCTAAACATTTGTGAACAGTCCACACGTAATTATGAAATTGGGAGTTCAAGTCCTCAAATTTATCAAGTTCGCTAAATCAACGATTCAATCAATTATTCAAGCATTGATATTTGCGCTCTCACCGACTGATAAAAAACCAATTACAACAAAACACATATTTCTGCTTCTATAAATCAATTTCGGAATTCTTATTGAAAGGTAGAACCGCAGTGTTTATCATAAATTCATCATCAACAGCGGTAACAAATAATTCATACGTCTGCTTGATACAATAAATCGAACGAGCACAGCAGATTAACACCAATGAATCCCTGGAATAAAGTAAAGAGTATCGATAAAAAATACCGCAAAAATGGTGTTTTAAAACGTAACCGTGTGACATTTTGCGTGTTCCACGTAATTTTTCATTCAGAAAGTCAATTTTTCGCCATGAAAAAACGTGAAAGATCCAGTGAAAATGGCAGAATTTCCAGTTCAATCGAAACCAATTTCAATCTCCACGTGGCGCCTGCGCCAATCACGTGGTGCCCAGACCAGCCTTCAGGGCCGTGCCTCCTCATGATTAAACCACGATCACTTTTCCCGAGGAGATAATCTGAATAAAATCTTGAGAATAACAGGAATTCCATCCTATTCACAAAAGGAACGAAAAGAAAACAAAAATGGACAGAAAGAAAGTGTATATAACCTTGAACATTGATCATTCAATTCCGAACATCGGGTTTGCGGCGATAAGGAATTGTACACATCAAGTTTTCAGTATCAATGACCTTTAGCGTCCTCAGTGAATCCGTGGTGACCACCCTGCTTTTCGGGGTCATCATCACTGTGTCCTGCGATACCACCGACGTTAATTCAAAAATGGCAACAACCAATTCATCGGATGATATCAAAGGTCTCCAAGACATTGAGACGCCCGTTGGAGCTCGGCTCTCAGGGAAATATCGCAAGTAATAATCGAGTTATTTTCTCTAGACATTATCAAACTATTTTCCCTAACCTCCACATTGTCTGATCATTCTGGGGACTATTCACTTAAAGAACGTGATTTCTTCTGCGACTTTTTCAGGAGTTTCGCTTATTTTACGATGAAGGATCGAGCTCCAGTGATATTAACTAAAATTATAGATACAATGAGCAGAAATAAGGAATCAATTATCAATAAATATGGAAAGGTGAGATAATCTGTGGGGACTGAGTGTCGATTTCTCTACTGTTTCGGAGGCATGATTATTTGATATTATTCGAAGGAAGCGTCTGAGGAATTGAAACAAGTCATGGGGAATATCAGCCAAGTGAGGAGTGAATTAATGACCAATAAACCACTACAACTGCTGACTTTATCGAATAGCGAAAAGAACGGCGATGCAAGGCTTTGGAATGATTACATTCGTGATAAGGGAATTAATGATTCTTCGCCAGTCACGTGGTTTGAAACTGATTGGCTCCTCTGTGAAACGTATATGTATAGGAGATTGTGGCAGTTTTATGCATTAACGTAAGATTTTTCATGCTGCTATGAAGTTCTGGTGGGAATGGTCCTTGGGAGAAATCTCGTAATTCGTTTCCAGAACTGTAGTCACTATTTTCATGCTCACACAAAGAGGAATTCGTATTAAAATATTCGTATATTGCAATTTTTACCAGATTTCTTCTAGAAATTCCTGATAGGTCAATACGCTCCACGATTACTAGAATTTAGGGAGCACTTTTAGGAACCATCCCCTCTCCGTGCAAGACGCGTGCACGCTCAGGAGAAAATATTTAAATTGGATATCCTTCGTACAAGTCACTAGACGATTTCTATTTTCCATGATCATTTGAGTACGATTCCTGATGTGAACTACAAACGCTAGATTGCTAGGTCTTGTTCCTTTTTGAAATAACAATTTGGAAACTCGGAATGAGTTAACTTATTAACAGGGGCCTGCGAGGCAAAATTGAGACTTCCATTACAATTTTGGTATTCGTAAAAATTGGGTTGAATTTGGACATAAAACACATGAAATACATGCACAAAATATTTCACCAAGTTTTGTGACCGACGTGTTTAATTTTTTTATGAACTGTAACGAGTGCCCATTCGTTTTCACATTCAATTGATGTGCAATTAAGCTCTGGATCATAGAGGCATATATTTCCAATGATTTCTGTAATATCTTGACTCCACTCCCACTCAATTCTAGCCGATTTGTCGAGTATCTTGTACGGAGACTGGACTGAACTTTCCTATCAAAAATGATCTTTCAATTTTTTGGCCGACCATTTCAAGAGATAAAAAATAGGTCTTCCGTGAATCCTCTTGAACTTTAGCTAATCCTCTAGAATAATTTGCGAATTCATCGTCAAGCCAGCGCTCCCATTACTTCCACCTTCGATAATCCTACTGAATAAATTACAGCAAAACATTGTCATCACTGGACTGTTTCGAGGAGCAAAAAGAGTACGCTTTCACTGGCGCATTGAACTCGATATCAGAGCTCGCTAAATACACGTTATATCTCGCTAACAAATCTGAACATCATTCAGAGGATAAGAAAAAGGAGGAATTTCAAGCGCTGATGAAGCTGAATCTCTGGGGAAATAGGTGAGCCCAGTGTTATTTGCATCCCAAAGGACAGTTGTCAATAAAGAGATATTTCAGGTGCGACCTGTCACACAGCGTTGGTGCCGCTATCAACGCTTCCGAGCATTGTGGACCGGCAGACAGCTTATCGACGATCGACCCAAATCTCTTAATCGACGATTCCTCAGCTGTCTGGGATCTCCTTAACAAGAGAGGAACGGACGAAGACATCGTTGTCGACGTTGTATTAGATAATGCCGGATATGAATTTTTCACTGATTTGTGTCTGGCTGTGTTCATGACACACCATAAACTAGCAAAAAAAATTCGATTCTATGTGAAGAAGCATCCCTGGTACATAAGTGATGTAACTGGGAAGGACTTCAAGTGGACGATAGAGTCCATGAAGAATTCTTCGGATTCCAGTGTTCAAGAGTTCGGGGATATTTGTGAGAATTATTTAAAGCGTGGAGCCTGGAGTATTGAGGTAAATGCTCTGAATTATCTCGTACACAAAACTAATTTCTTCAGCCGATCATCTCTTGAGGACAAACATTCTGTTGAATTCACAGTTGGAGCACTTCACGATAAAATGAGAATTTGTAGCTTCAATAAATCGTTTTTATCGCGTCAAAAAATGAGAAAATAACAAAAAATACGAGAAGTTCCGATTTGGCTAATCATAGATTAGAGATTTTCATGTTTAGCCCCTCACGGACGGGATTCCCCCCAGGCAGCGACCCTAGTCTAAATAGACAGCTCTCTTCGAAATTGAATATTTTCGAAACTATGGATAGTAATTTAATCGAACAAGCAATATTGGCAAGAGGAATACTGTAGGTTCAATTACACATCAGTTTTACCATTATCTGTTCCTCAAAAGCGATCAGATTTGAATGATTGAAGCGCACCGTACGTGGGGGTTAATGAATACAGAATTCATACAGAGGAAAACCTCAGTATAAATTCCAGATATTTCTAAAATGTAACCTTCGCTTGCTCTCACTCGCAATGAGTTCGTAGGGAAGTAATGACCTGACCTGTTTTCCTTCTTTCGAACTTACCGTGTCTAAATTTCCGTAATATTATCTCATTTCGAGAAAAATAGTATATTGTATTACTACTACGTTCTACTTTTTCGCACGCACGTGTGAGACATCCTATTCTTTGTAGGGTAAACTGTTTTTCTTGTGTATAACTTTCTTGTGTATTACTAGTGCGTTCTACTTTTTCGCACGCACGTGTGAGACATCCTATTCTTTGTGGGATAAACTGTTTTTTTGTATACAATTGCGTATGGTTCAAGAGCGTAAAATAAATTTCGAGTACGCTCGTGAACTTTACGCACACTAAATCGTTTCGAAAAGTGCCCTTTTCAGACAGGTATCACTAAATAGTATATTTCGATACGAGTGAGACGGAATTTTCAGGAGTGTGAAGTTGGCGGCCCGAGGCGAAGTCGAGGGCTGCCAATCACAAGAGCTGAAGATTCCCGTCTTACATCTGTCGAAGAACATTTTTTAACAGTGATGTTACGTTCAGTGAGTGGCCAAACTGTGCCTTTTTCGTTTACAAGTAAACAAACAGACTTTTCGGTTACTTTACTCATGCAAAGGAGTGCGTTACTACTCAAATGTCTTCCTTCCGGAACCATTTGCGAAACTATCCACCGATACGTGTTACATTCACCTTCTGTATTCACCCTTTCAGGATGAACCATTCTGGACATCACCATACGATTTCTCCCAAATGAAGAGCGAAGCACCAGATTTGTATTCAAAACTATCTGAATCCAAATTAGTCATCTTCAAAGGAGATTTGAATTATAGAAAACTCGTCGGAGACATCAACTGGGAGTCTACAACAGACCTAGTGACAGCACTCCGGGGATTCAGGCCCAGTAATTTAGTCACTTTGAGGACGCTCAAAGCTGATGTGTGTGTGGGGTTGCCACCTGGGAAAGCCGTTGAATTGCGTAACAAACATGGCAATAATGACTGGTTGGTGTCTGGTCAGTATGGTGTAATTCACGCAACAATCGATGCTCAGGTGAATTAAATTCCAACGGGACCGAAGAATTAAGCTCAATGTCTTTTGAATATCTGTTCAGTCCTTTATTATTTAAACGTGCAATATAATGCATCCAAAAACTTCCTGATGGAGAACAAAACTCTCAAATTTGTGTATAATTTGTATAAATAAAGGATAAGCTGCAAACATTGTGGGTTCATTCAATGACTAGACTGATTTAATTGTATTTATTTAATTTCCCTTAATTGTAATACAATTTCTAATGATGATCGATATTAAGTAACTATTGAATGTAAATACATGGTAATATCTTCTCTCTATAACTGTACAGTCAACTATATTTTTTATAATTTAAAAATAATCAGGAAACAGTTGTTCCTCTTTCTGTAATTAATTCTCAAATAATCATGATCCCAAACGAGAAAAAAAACTAATTGACATTAAAACCGAAAAGAACAGTAAAATATAAAATATTCTAACCCTCAATGATTAAATTCTTGAATTCAATTATTCCGTTTACTCGCGGTACAGTGAATTCAAAATCATTTACGTCACATGCCTTTATACAACAGAACTCATAAACATCACGAAACTTCGTTCGATCCTTAGCGAAGGATTTCAGATTTTCGTTACCCACATTAGCGCGAGTCATACTCACAACTCCGTCTATGATTATTATATCTTCAAATTGGTATTTTTATTGAATTGCACCATGTGTGCAATTACGTGAGTGTCACCATTAATGAATGCAATATTTCGAAATAAAAACCAAGTGAGAGGCTGAATAGTGCATAGATGCTCCATGCATTGCATATAATATTCTCCCCCCCATTAATTTACTGGAATGGTAATAAATCAGAAATATAATGAAAAGGAAACATGCATCATTAACAATGACACTCACGTACGTCCCGTAAATTCTGAATCGAAAGAGAAAATGTTTGTTCTCAAATGTTATCAGTACGTCCAACCTACAATACTTGGTCTTCCAAAACTCCCGTGTTATCTCTCGTGGAATGAAGGACAGTGACACTCTAAGTTGAAATTTCCGATTCGTTTTCTAGCTCCGGGGCTTAGTTAATGAGTTATAAATGAAGCTGACAAATTGTAGCGGTGCTGAACTTGATTCATTACGGCGTAGCCACTGGGGGGTCATTTTCTTACAAATTCAGCAGCACTTCGGTTGGAGTCAACTTTATGATCTAAATTATTTGCATAACAGTGCAAATTCAATAGTACTGAAGAAGTGGCGGAAATGGGGAGGGGAGAGGGGTTCGGTTCTGACCTTCAGGGAAATCGGATTGAGTCAAAGGTTCTGGTATCCACATCAGAGGAACCCTCCCCTCTCCTCGTTTGTTTTCGTTCCTGTCCCCCAGTTGCTACCCCAATGCAAATCTGGCCTCTGCCGTCATTTTTCAAGTTCACTAATTAGAGACCCGATAACTGACGCCCGGGACAAAAGTCGAAGGGGAACATTCGCCTCAGAATTCCACCGTCTTTCATTCCGAGAGAGATTTGGGAATTGAGGAGTTTTGGGACACCCAGTACATAAAAACTCATTTGGTGTAATGACATGCTCACGAAGCGTCGATAACACATAAAATGTTAATACGTGACAAATTGTAGGATTACAATCATTCCGTTAACATACCCCCTCCAGTATTGTTGTTTTGCCACAACAACAGTACTGATGAGAATGTCAAAGTGGCAGTATATTTCAATCATTCCGAATTTTCATTCGCCACTAGGCGAGAGATTTATACGATATTGGTGCCTTTCGATGAAATAGAAATGGAAACAAAAAAGAAATATGTCGAAGTGAAAAAATTCTACAAATTATGAAACTCTGAGAATGTGTTCATAGCTCTTCTCGTATATTTTAATTATTGCAAAAATCTTTATTTTCCTCTGATCATTCCGTCCGCAGCATTGACGCATCAAAGAAAGAGTCAACTGCTTCACTACCACCCAGAGAATTTGATTTAAACTCAAATCTCTTCTCCTCGCTTCTCTCCATGCTCACAAAAATCGCAGAGCCCCAGAGGAATGATCAATATTCTACCGTAATTCATGTTTTCACGATTGTAATGGCACATTTTAATCTTTCGAAATGATTCCGTTACGATCTGTTACATCAGAACATCAACGACTTGGTCTGGGATATGATATTAATGGACGATTGTACACGTAAACTGACACACTGGAAACAAAAAGAGCAGTTGTATAAACAGATGAAAGAATTTTCCTCTCCCCTTCACTCGACCTTAATAGTTACCTCACTGTCACACTTGTGAATACTCTTTATGTCTTCCCATTGCTACTTATTGAATGCAGCAAAGACAGCCCATAATACGGGATTCGCATTTGGCTTGGCAGCTTCAGCTTCAAAGTCAAGATCCAACAGTGTCCTTACTCGACGCATTGCCACTTCGTAATCATCGTCTGACAGTGGTGCGAATGCATTCTCTAATACATCAGCAGCGTATGCTAATATAACAAGTGCTAGTGTTCTTCTGTCCATTCGACCGGCATCGTTAACCCAACGACAAAGAACAGCCTCTTGTATCTAAAATGTTTTTACGGTGATGTTTAGCGTTATTGGAGTTATTATAGTTATTTCGCTGGGCTCTTATCGTTTGGTTTTACGGGAGTTTAAAAAAATTATGAACAAAGTACGAGATAAATCATCTTGTTGAAGGAGTTGAATGAATTTTTATGTTTACGCAGGGCTGTATTACCTTAGATCTTTACAAGCGATAAAATATAATGAAAGAAGGATGCTAAATGCCATTTATTAATGACTTCTGTATGAGACATTCCATTCATTCTCGAATGGCCTTTGCCGGAAAATTGAATGTGGAAAAGAAAAAATCGAAAAATGCGTCATTAACTGCTCTTGCGATACTGCAGTATTTCTATGCGGAAAGTACAGAAGGAATCAATTCTTATTTATTCAAATCCGCTTATTTGTTCGCAAGACAGATTTCTGAACATCTAAGCTACCGTCATGAGTGGTAGATAAACGAGTGTTGCTAAGACGATAAAAATTCACAGAAATTCTTTAAAGTTTATAAGATTAACAAAATTGAGGTGCCTGAGTAGGTATGAAATGTTCCATATGAGACCCGACCAAGAATTTAAACAATTTTATGTGGATAAGAATTCAAATGAACATAAATGGCCCGAATATACGAATAGAATGGTGCGACCTCCCCATACACAATTGAAATCCCAATATTAGGTCAGTGGTATCATTTTTCGAGAGCACTCAAATTAATTCAAGTGACCTCATCCACAGTCTCACTGCATCCGACCCTAGCAGCAGCTAGTAACGCAAATGCACTCAGTAAACTACAGTTTCGAATGACGATAAGTTTACATATTCACAACGTTGCGAACACTGCGAGCCGTAAAGTATTATTTACTTGTTGATGTGCTCTGCAAAACAGGAGGAAATATTTTACATTGTTATCAACAGGAACTCAACTATTCAAATATGGAGCACGAGAATGCCTCGAATTAGATTGATAAGATAGTGAGATACGGCTTCCTCTGATTACAAGACAATCACTACGCCCACGTTTTTTGCTCTACCAAAAATAGGGATGAAACAAAGCGAATTGTGGAGTTGAGGGATGTACCCAGAAAAATGGTTTATTTGATTCAACTAAAATGTTAAATACAATCAAATAAACCATCTTCCTGCCTGTAGATACCTTTTTAACGAGACGCGTCTTCGCCAAATTATCTGTCAGCGGATGTGTGGTCATATCAAACAGCAGGAAGTTCTGTTTTTCAGTCGTGAGAACTCCCTTCTCAACTAAATTCTTAGCTAATCTCTCCCTAACGTTTTTCAACTGGTACCGTAGCTTCAGTGGATTCCATGTTTCCCCTGTAACCCAATGAATCCCGAAAAAAATCACTAAAGAACTTGAGTTGAAACTGAGTAATATCAAGTTGTTGATCAATGTACAGACCACTGAGATACTCGATCCAACTCTGAACAGGTTCTGGTGGATCATATTCCTTCAGGTGTTTGAGTGCTTCATCGAGAAGAACATCGCCAGTTGGTGCATCACTCTTGACCAATAATTTACGTGAAAGGAGACCCCTCTTACGCATACCAGCCTTTTCCAGCTCAACTCGTCCTCTCAAGCCGAGTTCAGCTAGGATACAGCCCCTGAGGCCCGAGCTTATGCAGTCATTCCAAAAGGATGTGTAGCCCTTGTTTAAAAAAATCAATGCACCCCAATCTTTCATTTCCCAGATGAAAAGGTACGACGATTTAAATATCCCGATGAAATCAGAGAGAATCATCATCGCGAATATGTGTCAATAGCCACTCACCTCTTTATCTTTGAGTCCAAGCAGAAGTACCTCCTCCATGAGTGTCAGTCGTGTCTCTTTGTCTGAATCTTCATCGACGGTTGGATTTGAATTGAGGTCCTTCAGCGAATTACTGTCATTGTCACCACCGTATCCCGATGATTGATCATTGTAGCCACCACTTTGATCAGGTGTTCCACCTTCCTGTCCCAATCCATTACCACTATTGCTGTTAACAACTCTACGCCTCTGTACCAATCCGTCACTTCGATTCATCCTTTCTCTTTCAATAACTTAATTTATTAACTCACGGCAGTCAACGAAAAAGGATAGATTACAAATTATTGAACTCTTTTGGGACTCGTACTGGCGTTAATTGGGGACATGTAATGTGGAATAAACACGGGACTGTTGACGTTTACCCCAATACGACATATCTCTTTTCAAGATGGCCACACCGTGCACTGCACCGCGCAGGCGCCTTTCTCACTTCCGTAGTCTTTCTCGTACTAGATTTTCGTATCCCGTGAAGTTAGCGGGGTTCCGGGGTGCGATGGTAGATGGCGGCAGCTGGGGGTTTGGCTTGTGCTTTGTGGATGATCATTTATCGACTCGACTCCTTTTGGAGAGTTTATCGCTTCGCTTCCGATATTCGAATCGTGTTGTGGTTTATTTCAGTGGAAGTCTCGAGAGCTTCAGAGTTATGGAATCGTAGAGGGATTTGGGCTATTTGAGCTATTTGTGAATGCGGCAATTATTGGGTGGAACGAGGGCGGTTGGGAGGACGTTTCAACTGCTTGAAAGTGCAATCATTATTGAGGTTTCCAATATTTTTATGTGGAAGTTATTGTGTTTGGGAGAAGGAGGAAATTCAATTTTGCGGTTTTTTCCTGGGGAGTTGGGAATATTCTCTGTTATTAGTTGTAATGGAATATTAAATTTTGAGAGGAGAGAGTACCATGTATTAATTTAGGAAGAAGCGTATTCTCAAATCGGAAATGCTTGTACGAAAAAATTTAGTAGAAAAATCTAACGTAGTGATGCCGCGTGACGAGACGAGAAAATTCCATTTTTGACGAGATTGTTCTCTGGTCTTATCTCGTGTCGTCTCGACTCATCTTATCTCGTCTCATTTCTCCCATCTTTCGCGGAATCACTACTGTAACTTAATCGCTAATACGGAATGCTACTGAATTAATATCACAATTCTATTGTCCATTTTATTAAAAATTCATTTATAAAAATAAAAACTTTCCGTAAAGACTATTTGATAGAACAAAGACAAGATATTTTTTCAAAGAAATCCAGTTGAATTCCCTTATGTTCGATTCATGAGTGAACCGATCTCCACCAAGCACTTGTGTCAGAGTATACATGAAGTTAAATGATGTTCAATAATTTTTTTTACATGCGCCAGATGCCTACCCCTGCGTTTCTACCGGTGAATTACTTTAACTCTAGTCTGGTCCACGGTGAAATAGACTCAGTGTTTGTATTATTGAAGGGAGAATGTAATCATTCTTTGAATCAATTTACTATTTTCTTGGCATCAAAAAAGGCTTTCTTCAGTTTACATATTCACCGGGCTTTCATGTCTACCGGAGTAGTCTTAGTTACAGATATAATGATTAATAGTTGTACACTGAGAGAAATTCTTCAGAAAAATTTCTAGCATGGGAAAAAGAGCACGGCTATGAAAATTTCTAGTGCTGTTGAGTTGAGTTTCTGGGAATTCCTAGAAAAATTCGCGACACAATAAAAGTTCTAGTACCACCACTATGATTTTTCTAATGAATTTTCCACCGCCTATTCATATCGTTATAAATTTAGAATTCTCCATCAGAGAATATTATTTTTTTCTGTAAAAGTCCAGATTGCGAACGCTTTTTTTTATCGAGAATGATCGAATTCTTTGAAGGACTGTTCTAAACAACTTTTTCATAACTAGATACAGTTCTGTAAGTTATTCTCTTCCAGGTCTGATCATGAAAATTGTATTTGCAGAAAGTAGTGCTTGGAGAAAAATATAAATAATATCTTCCGGCTATTTTGCATAGGCTCGAACCCTGAACTTGAGGAATCATCACAATTTCAATATCGAAAACATTCTGCACGCGCTGTGGCGCGAATCGCGGTCAGTCCCAGTCCATTTTCCCGGGAATAATCGACAGTTAACACGAACGGAACGGGAAATTCATGTTTATCATGCGGAGCATAATGCGGAGAGATTTTATTAGAATTCTGGGATATTTTATCACTCAATGAAAAACATTCCTCTGTGGTATTCCGGGCACTCCGAGAATTCTATCAAAGTTGAAAAGTTTTCCGTTTGCTTCTGCGGAATATTTGAAAATCTCATTATAGCTCCGGAAAAAACTTGGAATTGAGTGTTAAATATTTATGAAAGCATTACATTCTCTTGAAAAAACTCCCAATTGAGCCGAATGTCGTCTCAAGTAGTCCCCATAATTTTTCAATTAATGTTCATGACCAATTTACAATTTTTAAACTCATGCGATTTTCATGAATAATTATGAATCATCAACAACGACGAACATTCACAATCTCTACTCTCAATTCGTTGAAATCGAGTACTCCCCCGTATCTAAACTCTCAAGGACACTTGCCTCATGAATAAATGCACGCGCGAGTGGCTCAATTCTGTGGTTCGTCCACCAGCTAAAATGACAGAGGAATCGAGAGTGGGGCATGACAGAATCGGCCAAAGCGAGACAATTGCGATTCGATATCCCCCCCTTGTTCAATTTCATATCTCAACAACCGCCACTATCTGCATGCCATACTTTATTTACCTCCAGCATGCAAACATTGTGAAAACGAGAAAAAAAAATAACGAAGGGAAGAAAAAAAAGTTGCAATAAATTTTTATTAGCCGACGGCAATAAAGCACGAAATTACACCCTGGGTTTTCGTGCTATAAGAGAAGTTATTCGTAATGTTTGCAGTGGAACGTGACTGGTCTGAGACAGTCTCTGGAAACCCTTTGGCCCAATCCTCTTGGACAAATATATTAGAGTCATCAGAGAATTGAATTTTCAAGTGATTGAACACATCAAATCCCCTCGAACAACGAATTTTATTCATATGTCATCCTCACTCGACCCAAAATGCAAATTTACCCGTCTGCACTCACTTTACCGTTCGAAGTTTCCCAAAAAATATCGCTTTTAATGACTCAAAACTTCAACTCTTCCACTAAAATATTTACGGTTATAGCTTAATTGAGCGATTTTACGTACCCCGTAGTATTTTTTAACCCGGAAGAAAACAGCAAAGAGGTGCAATAAAAAACTCAAGTGAGTTTTTCAGTGTCAGCTCAACATTATTCTCTCTCTCGCTCTCTTTTTTCAACTTTTTAAAGCGCCCGTGCACATTGGCGAGAGCGGGGGCGAAGGGGAGAAGAAATCGGGTCCCCCGGTTGACCGGTGAAGGGGGAGCCGGCAGGGGAGAGGGAGGCACACCGGTGGAAAGGTTCGGAGAGACATTCAGTCGTTGAGGCACGTTCGTTCGAAGCGCACATCGACTCAGTGTTTTTGTCTTTCAAACTCTCTCGATCTCCCGTCACCTGATTTTTTCTTCCTACTTTCCGAAAGTGTATGGGCTGTGTACAATAGAACCAACTAAAAAAAATCTCAACAGCTGAACGACGTCTGGATTAAAAAGACGAATACAATTGTACACCAGACCTCACTGAGTTACCGGTGGAAAAAATAAAAATGACGTCGATCCGTTGACATTATCAATTCAGGTGTCAGGTGAGTGTTGATTGCAATATTGAAAAACTATGAAATTTTCCATGACAAGATTATTATCTATTTCATTGAAATGTTGAGCAAGATTCGTGATACGATTATATCACATTTAATTGACCTCCAGACGATGCAAGTAAAAGAAAGGCACAATGTAATTTCTGCCTGGGAAGAAAAAATCGCATACTATAATCGAAGAACAAGCACAGACTATCCTTCATCCACTCAATTGCTGGGCTTCAGACAACTTCCCTCTCGCCTCACCCTCTCCCCCAATCCACCTTATAAACCCATTCTTCCTTTCCTCTTTTTGTCTTTATTCATACTCCTCTTTTCATCCTCTCCACTCTTATTCTTTCGGTATCATCTCTGAAACTGCAGCACGCATAATCCCACAAGAGGGAAATTCCCGGAACAATGCGCAATCATAATTAATAATTAGAAACAGATGATGCTACAATGTCCTGTTACAATGCAACTCTGCTCCGTGCGCTAACGATGACGTTATTAAACTCGGAAGGTTCTCCACGTCTGGCGATAAAATTTACACACGAAAATCTGAGTTTTATGGGCAGTGGAAACTCGTAAATTTTTTTTCTGTTCTTGAATACCTGATGGAATGAGTACACACCTGAGGACAATGTTGCATGCGTACGACGTACCGTTGTTTTATTCAATGTTCCGGTATCGTCGGTTTTGTTGCGACATTTTTACGCGCCGTAATTCATCGGATGAATGGGGAATCATTTATAGTGCCTATAAATGGGATCTCATCACTGCGGTTCTCGAAATTTCAGGGGGCTTTTGATTCGTTAGAGGTGAGAGCTGAATTTTGGAATCTGGAGAACAGCATCCATACCACTCCAAGTGAAAGAAAATATTTCGACCGGTACATTCATATTCTGGATTATCCTCAGGGGTATTTTACTCGGTCAAACCTTAGATGAATCTACACACCTTAGACACACTGATAGGAAGGATTAGTTATTGTTAACAAATGGATTTGGTTGGAGGCTAGGGTCTATTCGATCTCACCAACTGTTCATTCGTTAATAGTAACAAACGCATATTGAGGAGCCTTGTTTGACTCGACTTTCACCTTTCACGTGAATCAGTCGTTAACTATTAACGAATATTTATTTGGCCATATTCAACTCTACCATTCGTTAATAGTCAACGAATCTCGTTTGAAATAAATGAATCATTCTGTCATGCAGAAGCTCCGTAAAAACAATATCATCGTTCTTAAAAAAAGATATGGAGAGAAATATTCAATAAAAATTACGTATCTTTTCCGTAATTCCGGAGCGAAATGTAGTTGTAGGAAATTTGAGGGAACAGTCAAGGAATTTTTCCAGAGCGTTCCGTAATTTTTCCTAGTTTAACGAAAATTCATGATCCTGTGATAGGGGAGGGTGGGGCAAAACGGCCCCCCTTCAATTGTCAATAACTTGTGAATGACATTGTGAAAATTCCCAGTTTCAACTTCATTTTGAAGATAATTTTTCATTCTTCAAAACGAGCTCTAACTCATCCCAATCGGATTATTGAATCGGAAAATATTGACGATTGAAGGGGGGCCGTTTTGCCCCATCCTCCCCTATATTTCCGACGATTTCTCAAAACCTACACGATACTAAATTAGAAAATTGCAGACATATTCTTGGAATGTGTTCGATGGTGGACACTGGACAAATGATATTTAAAAAATTTTTTTTTCCAAGTAACTAGGATTGAGAAGATTTTTTTTCTGAAAATTTCACATTTATAACACATTGTCTAACTGAGGAAGTACCTTAAGGAATCACGTCTATACCTGGGTAGCTATATGTGAATTTAAAAACTCTTTCAAACATCTCATATTAATGTCGATGCTCAGGTAGACGCCCGGGCCCATCCATTTCACCACCTTCCTTCTAAAGGTAATTAATTTTTGAATGAAATTAAATACTGTTTTTCTATAAATTCACGAACACGCTAACGCATTAAAATTCAGGCTCTACCAGCTCTTAGCGTTCCTCAGCATCCTGTAGCATAATTGTCAGTATCGAATAGACCTGAAAGATGGGACTTCATTAATACCCCTCCCCCTGAATGTCAACTAATAGAAATGCAGTATTCACTGAGTGTCAAATTATTTCAGTAATTTTCGGCCATTTCATTTTAACCGTAGGCCAACCTCAAATGAAAATTTTCTGTTAAATTAATGAAGTTCTGGTTGGATTACGGCGTTAAGTGAAATATTGAATTTCGGTCGATCGAAATTCCGATGGAGGGAACAATCCAACCGAATCAGGAATCCAAAATGACGTCGCGTTTTAGAATCTGCCAGCTGAGAAAAAAATTACCGTCATGTGCCGTCAATTTTTCTCATGTCATAATTACGGTCATGCTTTCCTCAGCTATTGGTCATTACGACTGAATATTGAAGAACCTTCATTCAATTGAAAAATTTTTTACTTCACCCCCCAGTGCACCGTCACAATATAACTCCTATGTGAGAGAAAAAAATCTCAAGTAACTGAAGATAACGAAAAGAAGTAATAATAAGTTATACGTAAGTCGCTAAACAATCGCGCAGCCTCCGGTAAACACAGAGGCGCGTGTGCATGGGAATATCCCAAGAACAAACATCTCGTTTCGTCAGTCCCCTCCACCTCACCCCTCGGTAGATAGCACATGCGATAACACAGTCCATGCGATTTTTTCCCACTCTTCACACTGACGACTCACTGATAAAGAGTTTTTGCTCATCGAGAGTGAAATGAAATAAAAGAATCGGCGGAATAAAAAAACAGTGCGAACGATCGCGTGACCGAACCCACCAATTGATTCGTCAGTGTTAAATAATCTGCGCTACTGTGCGCAAGCGGAGTGTCTTGGGGACGTTGGTCGTTGCGGCGGGGGAAGAGTCTTCGAGGGGGCATTGTTGGACCTCCAGAGGCCCTTGGGATGCGCTGTTGCATTCCGCGGATGATTCAGCTTTGCCCAGGACGCAGTGTGCACCTTTGAACGCCTTTTATGCGCCATCCAACGCGCAGCCATCGACTTGCGTAGGCTCCAAATGACCTTTCAGTCACGCCAATAGACTCAAGACCAAGGCCAAGGGTTTCTATCCACGTGATTTCGCAGAAAATTGCCCCGCCTTTTGTTTTTTTCACATTTCTCGGATTTTTTTGCTCCGGACACTCGGTCAATGATTACTCGAATTAGGTGAATCGAGTTGGCATAACGGTCGACTTGGTTTCTAACTAGTGTTATTTTACAATTCACTCGGAGAACAAATAAACTGGGCCACTTTACAGAGTCTAGGATACGATGTTAATAACCCTTAATCTACCATGACGACGTCCCCAAGGTCAATTTCTATTTTTCAACTATTTTTTTTCGTAATTCATGTAATTTATCGCCGGTTTCCGTGTTTCAAACCTGAAATGATTTATAATGAGTGAGAAAGAAAACAAGGGGAAATTGCTTTCGTCACAACATAGTCAATATATTTTTACTAACAAATTAACAATTTGCTTCCGAATGGCATTTCTGGCGATGTAATTTAAATTGAATTCAACATTACCTCAACGGTAAATTTTTTCATCTTTCCCAAAATATTAGCTTCAAAACACATTTTTTCAACAACAGATGAAGCAATCAATGTCGTGATCGAAATCGGTCAAGATGGCATTGGGAAGAATATTTTAAATCATAACTGGACTCATTTAAGTATCTTTTACCGTTTGGTACAGACCACACTATAGATTCAACCATTTTCAGTGATCAAATTTGCCAATTAAATTGCGTGAGAAACATTTGAAAAAAAATCATGAATATTCAGCGCCATTAAAATTACATTGTGCACAGAATTATTTTTTTAAACATCCATTGTTTATAAATAAATAATCGAAATTGTTTAAACTATCAGAAACCCTAGTTTTTAGGCATGAAATCTAGGTGGGAAATTGATTGTTTATAGATTATTTATATAAAATGCTCGTAATTTTCAAAAATTGCAATTTTTTAATTATTTCATCAATCTTCCTTCAAAAGAAAACTTTCCATTTTTTTGAGATTTTTAAAATACTTTCTGCCAGTTGAATATCGAGATTGAAATTCAGACCTGGAAAATTTAAATAATAAAGTCATTGTAAAATGTCCGGCAACTTGGGGTCAAATGGGGCTCAAATAAAAGCTCTGATGTTCGACTACAAAAGGAGAAAACCATTCTACTGGTTCGACATGGTTTGAAAATAACATTCGAACTCTTGAGGCCAAAAATAGTTATTTTGACGCAAAAAATTGGAAATTTCGAATTTGACCAATACATTGCTTCCATTGGGAAGCAAAAAAATGGGTTCATCACATATTCATATCGGCCACGATCCTGCGCAACTCTCATATTTTTTCTCCCAGGCAAAGTGAAAGTATCGCATCGTGATGCCGAACCGTCCGAAGACGGTCGATCGGTCAGCGTTACGCCCGGATTCCACAATTATTGCCAGCCCGTGTAGACCACGTCCCAATGGGGTTTTTGCCTCAGTACCTAGGCTGCAATGTAAATATCGAACACAACCTGTGGGCAAGATGCCATTATCATCCAGCAAATAAACCATCGAAAGGGACCTGCGGGCGGAAGCGCGAGAGAGGGGGATTGAAGAAACGAAGGCAAAATGAAAAACGTAGAATTATTGTTGAAGTTTAAGTAGCGCGTGGAGTGAAAGTCCGCATGAGAGCGAGCGACTGGTACCAAACGCCATTACAAAATAATTAAAGGACTGTAAATAATTCCTCTTATCAATGAAAAAACGCTCGAGAACAAGAATTACGTGAATGCCAGTTGTATATTTTTCTCGAATGCAAGATAAAAAACATGTGTGACACACGTCTTCCCCGTGGGGTTCGAGCCTACGATACGCCTCGATGGGTTTTTAGCAGTGTCAGAGCAACACACGTTTGAGCTGCTCGAATGGTTAACCACGCGGTGTCATGAAACTGCGGTGGCATATGGAGGT